GGCCCAAAGGACTTTCTGGGCAGTGGTTCCCTTCCCACGGGGCCACCGTGCATCAGACAGAATGTGTTGCTGCCGTAGTAGGAGACCAGAGACACTGGGGAGGTTTGGAGCTGAGATGTCCCCTGATTGTCTGGGGTACTCTTGAGAGAGTCGCTGAGATTCCGAGGTCATAGCAATAACCTGACACACCAGCACCTTGTTGGATTTTAAGTCACCATGACCTGGGGTGGCACTAGTTGAAAGAGAGGTAAATGCACTTCCCTTGGACTTCTCTGCAGTGGCCCTGCTCCTACAGAAGTAGGGGGTAGTGATGGTGACAGCTGGCATGTCGTGAGGGTTTACTGTGTACGATTCACGGTTCCACTCCCTTTACATCTATGCATCCGTGCATTTACTCCTCACACTAACTTGTAGGGAAACAAGACACGTAAGGTGAGTTTCCCAGGATCGGAGCCCAAGCAGTCCGGCCCCAGCATCTGTGCCCTCAAGCCCCGAGCTATGCTGTTGCTCAGAGGCAGGAAGCTCTGAGACTAAGGAAGGTGTGTGCGCCAGCCGCTCTGCTGGATACCTTACATGTTGTCTGCTTTAATGCTCAGAAAAGCTTCCTGAGGGCACCTAGCCCATGTGACTTGCTGGCTCTGAGCCAGCCCCTAACCAAAAAGTCCCTGCCATCAAGTCTACCCAGAGGACAAGGTTAAGGTGACCAAATTTTAACATTGGTAAAGCAGGACACCAGTGGGACACCATTGATAAAACTCATATCCTGGCGAAATAGCCACATGGCAGCCAAAACCCGTATACCCTAACTTGTCGTGCATTCTTTCCAAAAGTCGGAACTTTTATAAAATGCCGTGGGGCGCAGGACAAATTGTTAAAAATCAGGACTGTCCTGCCAAAAGTGGGACGTCTGGTCACCTTAGACAAGGTTGAACTGCCCTGTGAGTTTCTGAGACTGCCACGCTTTAGGGCAGTAGAACGCCCATCTTTCTCCTGGTGGTCTCAAACTGCCGTCCTTATAATTAGCAGCCCGATGCATAACCACCACACCACCAG